AGGAAAAAAGAAACACAAATTCTTTTTCATAGATTAGATTTATTGTATCCATGTTCAGTTAATGGCGATAAAGAAGCATCTAAAGAATATCTTGAAACAGCAAGAGGTTTAATTGAAGATTGGCAAAATATAGAGCATTTTATCCCCCAAGAAACAAGGTTAAATATTTTTTTCATAAATAAATTACAAAAAAAAAAAATAATACCTTTTAGGAATATTTTTATAATGAATTATATATTTGACTAGATGGTTCCATTTAGAGGATATGATTGATGTGAAAGTTGGAGGGAAAAACTTTATTACGAATAAATTAAAGAATTAAAAGAAGGATATAATGCAGATATAGAAGAACAGGAAATCACAATGGTGAAGAGACTGCAATGGAATATAGGTTTGATTTATTACACTTATATATATATATATGCATATATATATATATGTTAGTATAAATAGTGAATGAGCAGCATACATTAATTTATACTTTTTTAAAAAGATGGACAGTTAGGTGAACTTGAAGCTGAAATACACAAGAAATGACAGAATTTCAAGGAATAACATTTGAAAAATGGTTTGAATTTTTTATTCAGGTAAATTAATTAATTTTATAATGTAAAAAAAAATTAGATGAAGTAAGGATTTTACATGTATTAATGATCATTTTAGTTTATGATTATGGCAACAAAAAATGGACATGGGTCAGAAGCATATGATGTAGTTATGTTAGTATCAAAGGCAAATTTTTTTTACCATATTGAATGACACAAGACTACATTCAAGGTGTTGTCACCAGGTAGGGAAAGAATCAATAAACAAATTTCTTTTTTTGAATTGCAAATTTCAATTTTTAGAACAGATATAATTAATTAACAGGAAATTTATGAATATGCATTATTATTAGCTTGGGACTTTATACATCAAATTATATAGTGGTTTGTGAAAGTGCAAGATGGTTATGTAACTTTAAGCTGTTCAATAGCAACATATACAATTTATATAGCGCATGTTTAGCAAGGTAAAAAAATTTTTGGATTAAATATGATATATTAAATAGTAGTAAAATACCAATAATAACATTTATTTTAAAATAATAATGGATCTGGTGCATTATCATGTTTTTCAGCGGCAAAATTCACAAAAATATCTTTTAAGACAAATAAAAGCAATGGATTCAGGCATTTCTGACAGTTCTCCAACGAAGCCTGATGCTGGTTTGTTGACACTTTATGGACATATTTTGGGATGTTCAAGAAGTTATAATGGTGCTCTTGGTAAGTATAATAAAAATAAATAGAATATATAGAATTTATTAATATATTAAATTAAAATTTTTTCTCAATTTATTACAAGGGTATTATGCTCAAGCAGCACTTGTCAAACCAAAAGATCCTCTTGTGTGTTTTTCTATGGGTCTTGCATATTTGCATCGTGCTATGCAGAGAAAAACAAGTAATCAACATTTACAAATTTTACAAGTAAAAAACTAGTTACAAACTTGAATCAATGAATTTTTTTTTTTAGTTAAAAGCTCTATTCATTTTTTTTTTTTTTTTATTCCATAAACTTGAATAGGGATTCAATTTTTTATATGAATACTATGAATTAAAAGCAAAAACCAAGCTGAATATAATTTAGGGCATGCATTTCATCAATTAGGTAATATTTTTTTATCTTAATAATAATAAACAAACAATCAAATAATTAATTAACTATTGTAAATTTATTTGACTTAAAGGATTAGCACATTTAGCTATACCACATTATGAAAAAGCACTTAAATTACCATCAGTAAATCAAATTTTGAAACAAAAAATTGATAAAGTTTGAATATTTTTATACGTTTGTGTTTACATGTAATATTGATTACTATGAAACTCACCGATTATATTTGATATATATATATATAGGGCAAGAAAAAACAATTAGAAACTGACGAAAACGAAGTTGAAAATTTCGAAGAAAATGATCCTACAGATATTAGAAAAGAAGCTGTCTATGATTTATATTTAAATTATATGGAAACAGGATCTTCAGCTTTAGCTCAAATGTTATTAAAAAAATATTATGCAATATAAAAATTTATTTATTGGAATTACTGGTAGCGTTGCTTGATAGTTTATAATTCAAAAATTACATAGAGAGAGAAAGGACAAACCGAACCTCTAAAAGACTGATTAGGAACTGGAATAAAAAAAACAAACAGAATTAAAGACATTAAATTTTTTTATTTTTGGCACATAAAAATCATAGAGTGACTAATAAGATACCCGATTTCTTTTAATGAAAATCAGAAAGAGGGTTTTGTACCAATACCATTAAGTCTTGTTGCACCTTATGATTGTAAATCAGACTTACATGGATGGAATCTTTTTCATCCAGCGTATTCCGTCAAGCAACGTGGATTGGACAATTGTAAAAAGTTTAATTTTTTTAATGGACAAAAAAAAACCACGTGATGGATGGGTTACAAGCATATCTATATGTTTTGTACAGAGCTCTGATGTTTCCCCGTTATCTGCACCAAAAGTTTCGTCCCTACACTATAAAACACTCCCTTCATTCAATTCATCTAAAATTAAATATTGTAGGATGGTATATAAACATACATGGATGGATAAGTCATGTGCCTTATTATTTAATATTAATATTTAATTAATATTATAAAGATACAGAAATAAAACATTAATACGGAAAAAAATAAAAATAGTGTACGGAAATAATAATAATAATAATAATAATAAAAATAAAAAATGGAATTTTTCCCCGAATTATTATTATTACGTGTTATTGTGTTATGTCAACTATTATTATCATAAACTTTACTAAAAAGAGATTTATGCATGGAAAACTTCACCCTGCACTACGACTTGAAATGGATTAAATTCTAATGACCTGTCTTTCTCTATTCATTTTCTATTCTAAATACATTTAATCTTGTATATAATATGGTTAGTTCTTTTAAATCGTGAGAGTTAAAATTGCATGCATGCGTGTAAATTTAAAATTTAAAATTCCTTTTTGGGTTGGGTGAGAAAATGTTTCATGGTGAAAACGAGTTCAATAATTATAGATAACTTTAATCTTACTGATTTGTATAAAACACATGCCTAGAATCTGGATTTAAACCGGATCAATAATAATCCAGATTATAGCTATATATATACATCTCTCAAGTTTGTAACTTTCCCTTACCATCATCATTACACGATGATTGATAATAAAGTGATAACGATACATGAGAAATGGCATTCGATTCTAGGTGAAGAAATACCTTTGATTGAACCTCACGATTATGTTAAACTCAGTAAAATTTTAGCACCTCCAAAATTGACAGCTCACGAAATGAACGGAAGTGTTGCTTACGTTCTTCACTATATTCGCCAGAAAGTTAAAATGTGGGGGGCTGATGTTCTTAGAGCAGAAAATATTAAAACTTTGGTCGAGGAAGACGATGATGTTTCTGATGAGGAATCCGAATCTTCTGATATGGGATCAATGGACGAAGGCCAAGATGTTCGGAAAAATCAATTGTCTCGATTTGATTGCCTTGCTAGTTTGCTTGCCTCTGTAGAATGCACTGTAGCTCAAGATATCTTTCGAACCTTATCTCAATTCCCAGTTGCACTTCCTTTGACAATACCCGAATTAGATAAAGAAGAAATGTTTAAAGTGATGCTTCCTTTGCTTGTTGGTCCAGTTATCAAGTGGGAAACGAAACCTGGAACAATTGTTGAAAACCACCTTTTCAATGATCGTTTCAGATTGATTGTCGCCATTCGAATCGGAACAAACTCTCCAGGTAAAAGCGTCATTCTCAACCAATTAATGGCATCGGATTCTATGTTCTCTTCGAGTTGTGAACCAAGAGCAGAATATGGGATTCCACATATGATTAATGGAAGCATCGAGTTTACTTGGCTAACCCAAGAAACTTGCGGGGTGAGTCTATGGAATGACGTTTTTGAAAATTATTATAAAGAAGGGGCAAAGGAAATCGCTTTACTTGCGAATTTACATGGAGATGCTTTAGATTATCCAGATCAAATTAAATTTTTAAAGCAACTTCCTTCTAGTTTCTTGATTTTTTTAATGCCTGGATGTACCACAAGTCAAATAGATAAACTCGAGGCTCTAATTGGACCCAAAAAAATCATATATGGCTGGGTGAATAAAAAGAACACAGACAAAAAGAAATACACGATCGACACCAAATTTTTAATGAAAGATAAAACATTAAAAAAAGTACGCATGATGTTTAAAGAAGCTTTAGATTTTGATACTTCATCATTCAATGCTATGATTAAATTGAGAGGATCGCTTCAATTGGCCGAAAGCATTGAACTTGCCGAGTCTCAGCTTTTGGCAGACTTTGTCAAAGAAAAAACTTGTCGTCACATTAAACTGGAAGGTTGTTAGACTTTTTTTTTTTTTTTAAACCATCCTAAATCATTTCAAGTCAGCTTATATCAATTACTGTTTCTCGTTTTTTTTTTTTATAATCTGAAGTTATGCAGCTTCAAAGAAAACCACCCAACGATCTCCAAATTTGGAAAAATAATACAGAGTTGCAATATTTAATATTTTTGTACATAAACATTCTAAAACTACCTCTCAACAAAAGGATACGAGCTCTAGCACATCTTGAAAGAGAAGTATCCAGGCTTTCTATGATAGAATCCTCTGGGGTTCGAAATCAGGCTGTGTTGAAAAGAGAAGAATTGCGTAAATCCAGTTTGGTTGATAGGAATCAAGAAAATGAAATGAAAATTCGAGATGAAATTGCAAAAATTTGGGCAAAGGTTGATAGCATGAGTTTAGGTTTGGAACATTTTTTCCGTGAGTTGGGACAAATCTACAAGATTTCTTCTATCAACGACCCAGACAGTGAAATTGTATTGAAGTTGCCAGAACTTTACGCTCAACTACTGATTGGTGGCCACACCATAGAATTACTTGATGGTGATGCTGGATCTATATCTGAAGCTTGGTTCTCAGCCATTTGTGGGCATATTTGTAATGCATATCCTAGACTTAGAATTTTTGTAGTCAGCATACTTGGCCTACAATCATCAGGAAAGTCAACTCTCTTGAATGCTCTTTTTGCATGTAGATTTGCTGTTTCAGTTGGGCGTTGTACTAGAGGTCTTTTCATGCGATTATTGTTTTTGGAAAAAAATTTATCCGACCAACTTGGCGTTGATGCATTTGTCCTAATTGACACTGAAGGTCTTGGTGCACCAGAAAAGATGGATGACCCAGAATCGGAAAAGAAAGATCGAATATTAGCAACTTTTGCAATGGGTGTAAGCAATTTAACAATTCTCAATGTGCTTGGAGAATCAACACGTGACTTGACTGAGATTTTGCAGATAGCAATTGTAACAATGGCACGTCTTGAAGAAGCTGGAATAGCCCCTGACATTATGATGGTGCAGCATGTTTCTGAACGAAATGCAGCAAGACTGTCTGAGCCAGAAGAAAAATTTCGGGCGGCTCTTCAAGAGGCTTTGAAAATAGCTAAAGAACAAGACATTGAGATGGGAATATCCAATACAGACTGTCTCCAAATACTTGATGAAAGGATAAAAAAAGGCCAGCTTCTTAAACAATTTCGGCCATTTAAAAATGGTGCAACTGCCTATGCCCCACCATCAGAGCAATACCATGAGGATGTTGTGAATTTATACAACTCCATAATTAATGATTGTAAGAATTCGCAGAGCAAAATTGAATTTTCGAAATGGCATTCGCTAATTCAAGACTATTGGAATGCAGTATCTCATGAGGACTTTGCTGTTCGTTTCAAAAACATCAGAGAAATTTATGAATTTATTGATCTTGGCAAACGAATCACAAAGTTGAAGGAAACCATCGACAAAGCATTCCTAAAACACGAGGAATCAATTATGCAAAAAATTCGTACCAAGCTTCAAAGTTGGTCTCCTAATGACAGATCAAATATGAATTTACGTCACCAGTGCTTAGAATTGATTGAAAAAGGGCTACAGAAAATACCAGATTGCAATGATTCCGGCTGTGAAGAATGTGAAAGTATAAACAAGGAAAGGATTGAATTGGAAGAGTACCTCAAAGATAAGAATAATGAAATGTGTGAAATAGAAACCAAACAAACAATTGAGGATTATATCAAACTCAATCGTCATTCTGCATCCATAAAACTCACTCAGATGCTCGATGCCAGTTTCATCCGAAAAGGTATTTCATCCGAATCTCTTGACATAATTAACAACCGTTTAGAAGGGATTCTAAGGAATATGCCAAGTGGTAGACGATTGACAGATTATCAACGTAAAAAAGAAGTTGAAGAAATATGGAGTTTGTTGCGAAATAACATATTATCAAAATACAACATTAAGCCAATAGTGGATCAAATAGATAAGGAGGTCAAAGATGCGTGTTCTCATTTATCGTCAGTAGGATTCTATCAACAATACATGAATGGAAACTCTCCAGATTTATCTAAATGCAAGGCATATAAAGCATTTAGAGGCCTTATTCCAACATGCTTGGATATAAGAGACGCCTGCGCTCTCCAGGAAAAGCTTGATAATTTGGTAGATTCAATCTTGGAAAAAAGGGCATCTTATCATTATTACCCTGGAATTGTGCGCGACCTTGCAAAAGTGATAGAAAAAACGCTTAACGATAATGCAAGTCTTCTTCGCGTCAAATTTTTGCCAGAATTCAAATGGAATGCTTACTTGTATGCTTTGTTGAAATTTAAACCAAAAATGATAAGCTTTCAAAAAAAATGGGAAATGGATAATACTCCACTTGGCATCCTTGATCAAAAGAAAGAGGAATATTTAAAGATGATTGATACCCGGCTTCAATATGGGCATACACTTGTTTCTGAGGGACATATTGCTGGGGATTATTTACTGAGGGTCATTCATAAAAAAGCAATGGATGCAGGAAGCGCTGAGCGAAAAACTGCGGTGCGTAATATTGGTTGGTTGACGTGTACTGAATCAGTTAGGCTTAAATATTTTGAGAATCTTGCTGAACAGGTTCAAAGAGGCGACAAAAAAGAAGCTATAGAGCATTTTTCATGGCCAAAAGGATCCATAGAATATTGGTTTAAACGTAAAGTTGATGGTAATACAAGTGGAAATCCAAAGCAAAAATACAATGATACCTTTAACTCAGAATTCAATCGAGTCATTCAAGAAATTCGTAACTGTCAAAGTTTCGAGGCAATCAAAAAATTTATAAATGATTACATGACGCAAGTTGACAAAGTGGACTACAAATTGGATCTTAGAGACACAAAAGATGAAGATTTTAGAATATTCTATCATGCTGTCGAGGAAGAGCTTAAAACTAAAGGGGGTGGTCGTTATCCAAAAGATGAGCCTTTTCAAGATCCGTCTAAAGATAAATCAATCATGGAACTGCTTGGATGCACAGAAGCGTGTTATTTTTGTGGAGCTTTGTGTTGGGGATCTCAGGGACATTATAACGACAGTGGCGAAACAAAAAGACATCATACTAGCCATCAACCTGGTGGTCTTGCAAGGTTCAGTTATAGAGGTTCGAAAGAACTAGTTGCAATGCCATGTCATAAATTGGAAGATAATGTGGGTGTGTGGTATTTTGGCAAGGAGGACCCAACACCTTGGAGCGTTGTAAAAGCTCATGATTTTAAGGATTGGAGATTTGAATCTCACTACCAACACTTATTTAATGATCTTATGTGCTGGTTCTTTGAAAAATTGCACGTAGATCTGGCAAACAAATATGGACTCAAACCATCAACTTATAACGAAATGAGTAAATATGGTTGTATAAACTTGAGTTACAGTGATATTATTAGTACGCTTAGAACAAAAATTTAAGCAATTCATTAAATTGTAAAATTCGGGTCTAAACTTTTGTGATAATAAAAATAATGTAAAGTTTCTTTCTCAAGTAAAAAGAAATAAACCTTTTTTCTTCTATTAAAGTGTATTTGTACGTGATATTCTAATTGAAAAGTCTCAAAAGGTCAGTAAGGTATTGATTATGAAATATTTAACGAATCATTCATGAAACAAGCTTCTTAGTATTAGTATTAGTATAATACGATCACCTCCTATTACTATATGTTCAAATTTTTATACTATATCAACTGTTATAGATAGTACGAGAAATTCAGCAAGAGCACTGCTGACCTTTCCTAAAATTTAATTCCAAGTAAACTTGCTTAATATATTTGTCATTTACTCAAAGTTTTCGTAAATTGCGGGAATTTTAAAATTTTCGTCCCGAATTTATAATAACAACCCTATGAAATTTTACAATATTAATTATCAAGATGATAAAAAAAAGGAAAATGGTAAATAATACAAATACTTTTAACCTATATTTCCCGAGATGTTACTATGTTAATAGGATTTTTGGCCATATTTTTCTGAGAAAAGAAACTTTGACGATTCTTCCGGATTGGTAGTTTAATCCATAAAATATAAAAGCAAGAAGATGTTATTGTAGTGTTGGTGGAGTATAAAATATTTGAATTTCTAAAAATTCAAAATTAACAATTAACAAACAGAAAAGAATTTTAAAAATGCTCCAATAACGATTACGAAAAGAAATATACCAATCATTTGTTGTTGATACGGACCTTATAATTACCCAGCGGGATCTGCTCCGCGTTTTGATTCCAATTAAAATATTTATATAAAATAAAAGACACCACACTATCAATACAAATAAAAAAAATACCTCTGGTTGGTTATTAACACGTCTTCAGACGAGTGCCAAACCATATCATACCAACTACAACACTCGCGTTTTGTCATTGAAAAATAAGATTGTTTTTCCAAGGAAGGAAAAAAAAATCAATTCGCATCAACAAAAAAAACCAATAGGATAAATAATCTGCGGAGGAAAAATGTCACAAATTTTGCCAATTGAATGAAACTAATCTCAAAGAACATATTTATGTATTTTTTTTCAAGAATATCGAAAAAAATAAGTATTTGCTCTTGGGGATGTAGAGATGAGTGAAATTGAAAGTTGTCAAGAAAGTATAAACGATAGAAATCTTACTGCAGGCTGGTTTGCATGTTCCCTTTCTAAAATATATAGAAAAAATTAAATTAATGATTTAAAACAATGAAAAGAATAAAATCGTCGCATATAATAATAATAATAACTAATTCGATTGTCACAATGATTCTTTTTGATTTCATTTAATCATTAACCTTTGGAAAAAGAAATCATGTAAATCCCTTTTTAATTTAAATATATGTATATATAAAAATATTAATTAAAAATATAAAAATAGATACAAAAGTAAATATTGAAAAAAAACATACTACCATATACTTGGGTATAACAACTTGATAGTTTGATTGACACAGTGGTGCAGTCTTGCAATTTTTTTATTGTATATTTTAAATATAATTAATCATATGTCTTTAACAAAATAAACATGACTTAGCTATTTAATCATTTCCTTGTATGTGAATGCCCCCATCCATCAAATATTCATGATGGTTGTGATTATTATTCAATACATTTGATATCATCATTGACATAACAAACAATTGCATCACCCAAGTAGTAATAATACCAAGGCCATGCAAAAATGAAACTTTTAATAATGCATGTCTACCCAGATTTCTGGGGTTCACAATAATAAATTATTCTTCCTGATTATCAATTATGGTTCCTTATGAATAATAAATCTGATGTTGATTGCAGGTGTCAGATTTAATTGAAATTTCCTATCACAAACATGCAAGCGCCGTGCAAAGCATCAATTCAGCACCATGGAATTTTTCCACAGGTGAAAGTGGCTTGAACAAGTTGGAAGGCTTTGGACAAAACATTCCCTTATCCCCCCCTAAGACCAAGCTGGATGTTACATATATGAACATTGATAATTGATAGCTAGTGCTTGTGTGATGATTGCTGCATGTTATTGCCACACTAGCATAAAAGTTGGACCTGCAACCTGGATTGCTGTTTTGGATTTTCCCTGAATTCAGAGTTTTGAGTCCTGGGTTGCTGTAATTTATATGAAAAGAAAAGATTAATATTTAACAATTAATTATTTAAATGTTTATTTTGTTGAAAAAAATGTACATTGATAGTGTACATTTTCTGTACTTAACATCCATGTGACCCTAAGTCTGGACAAAAGATCCCTTTCTATGAGTTTAGCTGATATATCTCAAAGGTGTCTCCCGTCTTGTCAGTGGCATGCCTACTCACCAACAACCAAACCCCCATTTACCAAAATAACAAAATCAGTTGGTCAGATAAAAATTAAAGAGAAGCAGAAAATTTGGGAAAATGATTATTTTATAACATACCAAACAAATCTGAACCATTTTATTTACAGCTTTTCTCCTTGATTCCAGTGATCATGGTGACTCTCACAATAGGAGTGGGTAAAATCAAACTGCCACCTTTATACTTGTGAGACACATGCTCTCGTTGAGCTACTCTCCTTTAACCTAGGGTAGGAGGTTATAAAAGCCTCATTTAAAAAAACAACAAATTCAGTTGACAAATAAAAATTAAAGAGAAACAGAGAATTTGGGAATAATTAATTTATAACATACCAAAATCTGAACCATTTTTATGACTTTTTTCTTGTTGGCCACATTGCTGACAAAGATGTATATAATCATGCAATAATTTAACCTACAGAGAATTGATTGGGCAAAAACCCATCCAAAGTTATAAAATGGTTAGTATCAGAGAAACAGAGCATTTAGGAAAATGATTATACAAAACAAACACTATTTTATAACTTTCTTCTTAACATCAGAGTCCAAATGCAATTTCAGGGCCACCAACCCTGCTCTGAATTGTAACCTTCTGAGCTTGGAATGAGTTACAGATTCTCATTGCTTTGATGAACTGGATGTTTATGTGCGCCTAATATCACAACTCTTCAAAATGCTGCAGAGTTGTGACTTTGTCATAGTGCCATCCTTACCCTAGAGGTGGGATTGTTGCAGGCAACTCTTCATCCAACATGGCAGCAGCCTTCTCTGGTCTGGGAAGATTAGTGAAAGTGTCCTTGACAATTGATGCAATCATGATAAACTTCAGGGCCACGTACCCCCCTGGAATTCTGCAGCATCATTGTATCTCAGGGCAAGCTAGTCAGATTAGCCTTTTGTACATGAGGAAGATGAGAATGACTGTAAGTGTTCAAGGTAGCGTGTGTGCTTTCAACATCTGTAAATTTCCGATAATCAAACGTTGCATATTTGAATTGTTTCTTTTTCAACAGTGTATTGCCTTGACATCTTGTGATTATAATAATATAATAATATTATTAATATTATTGATTACAAAAAGCAAAATATTATCAATGAAAATCTTGTAATTACTCGGCAAGATCTACTCCACGTTTTAATTCGAATTAAAATACTTATAAACTAAAATATATATATCAATACAAATAAAAAAAAGTACCTCTGGTTAGTTATTAACACGTCTTCTTTAGGAGATTCACGTTTTGTCATCTTCTGGACTGTCAAAAAATAAATTGTTTTTCCAAGAAAAAAAAAATGTCAACAAAAAAAAACCTGTGCAACACCAAGTGCCAATAATAAATAATTAATGTGTGTACGCGTTTGTTGATCAAATAAAAATTCTTATTTTTAAAGATTTTAAAAATGCCACCAAAGAGAGATTCAAAAAAAAGAAGAAAAGAAACCGATCGTGATGAACATTTTGAGTAAGTGTTTTAAGAATGGTGGTGGTCACTCTAGTTGACCATTAATAATACCTATCATTATTCACGTTCTTTTTCTTACAATATGAACAGTCAAGTTGTAGCAGGAAAGAAAAAGCTTGTTGATTGGTCAGATGAAGATGATTGGGAACCAGCATCAATCAAAAATTATTTAAATAAAATATCATCTAATCAACAACAAGAAGAAGAACAACAACGTAAGCAACAACAACAAGAACAAAAACAAGAGCAACAGCAACAACAACAAGAAGAACAACAACATGTAGAAGAAGAAGAGCAACAACAACGTGTAGAAGAAGAAGAAGAACAACGTAAACAGCAACAACAAGAACAAAAACAAGAGCAACAGCAACAACAAGAAGAAGAAGAACAACAATGTGTAGAAGAAGAACAACAACGTGAACAACAACAACAAGAACAAAAACAAGAGCAACAGCAACAACAAGAAGAAGAAGAACAAAAACATGAACAACAAGAGCAACAACAAGAAGAAGGACAACAAGGACAACAACAACAACAAGAAGAAGGAAATCAACAAGAAGAAGGACAACAAGAAGATCCTTTTTCATCAATAGAACTTTCAGAGAAACAACGAATTGTTTATGACCTAGTGATCAATAATCATGAGAATGTTTTTTTTACTGGTTCTGCAGGAACTGGAAAAAGTCTTCTTCTATCAAAAATCGTTTTAGCTCTTAAAGACATTTATGGAGTTGAAAAGATTGCTGTAACTGCTACAACTGGCATAGCAGCAGTTAATATCAATGGCACCACTTTACACTCTTTTGCAGGAATTGGACTAGGCACTGAATCAATAGAAGAGCTTATTATAAAAATTGAAAAATTGAAAATCCATCATTTCCAATGGCAATCTATTGAAGCATTGGTTATTGATGAAGGTATAATTGTTTTTTTTTTATCTGATTTATGGGAAAATAATTATTTATTTATTAATTATTTAATTATCTTATAATTTATTACATAGCCTCAATGCTTGATGGGGACTTGTTTGATAAACTGGAAGCAATTGCACAAGCTATTCGCAATAATCATAAACCATTTGGTGGAATATTAGTAAGTTATAATAATAACATATGTTATATATTGATTGATATTTAACAATTAATGTTTTTTTGAGGTGATTTTTTCCAACTACCACCAGTTTCTAAAGATCGTAATGCTAAATTTTGTTATCAATCAAACTCATGGGGTAAATGTATAAAACATATAATACAATTAACAACAGTTTTTAGACAAAAAGAGTCTGGTAAAGAATTGATATTTAATCTCATTATTAATTCATTCATCTATTTGATAAATTGATCTAATTTTTAATTCTAATTCTATAGATTTTATTGACATGTTAAATGAGATTAGATTGGGTATTGTGACTGAAAAAACATTGGAAATCATGAATAGATTAAAACTTCCACCACAATATCCTAATGATGGAATCCAGGTTACAGAATTGTAAGTTGATCAAATATTCATGATATTAATATATATAATATACTTATATATAATAATTTTTGTTTGTTTGTTTGTTAAATTACAAGATACTCAAAAATTGATAAAGTTACTAGTGCAAATCTTATGTTTTTAAGTAAAATTCAAAATAAATCACGTATATATCATGCCAAAGACTATGAACCAGAAGAAATGGGTCAATTAAAGACACTTATTAAAGGTTGTTTGGCACCAGATAAATTAGAATTAAAATGTGGTGCACAAGTAATGCTTATTAGAAACCTCAGTAAGGATTTAGTTAATGGGAGTAGAGGTATTATTATTGGTTTCTATTCAAAAGCTACTAGAAAAGGTTATTATGATGGTGAAGATGAGACTGTGGAGTTTGACCAGGAAGATGAAATATTGCCAATAGTTAGATTTACTGGAAACAGAGTATTGGTTGTTTTTGAAGTTGAGTGGAAACTAGAAACTGTTGGTAATGTTGTAACAGCAAGCAGACAACAAGTAAGTATTTTGTATTTATATATATGTGTATAGTTTTTTTTTTGTAATATATATATGTATGTATTTATTATATATTTAATATAATATTAGATTCCTCTTATACTTGCTTGGGCAATTAGCATTCATAAAAGCCAGGGCCAAACACTGGAAAGAGTCAAAGTTGATTTGAATGAGGTTTTTGAAAAAGGTATTTGTATATATATTCATAATAATGATAATACAACTATTATTATAAATAAATAAATAAATAAACTATTATGTTTTTTTTCCCCTGTAAATAGGGCAAGCATATGTTGCTTTGTCTAGAGCTAAATCATTAGAATCATTACAGGTTTTAAATTTCTCAAGAGAAAAAATAATGGTTAATGAAAGAGTAAAGAGATTTTATGAGTCATTAACAGATTAATGAATTGAATATTAAATATTTTATTATTTTATGACATTGATTTTTTTATTAGCAACTAAAAGATTATGTTTTTACATACTCTATTAATATGCAAATAATAATATCATGTGACACAGGCATTTGCTCATGTGTTATGAAATATTACACATGTATTATTTATGTTATACAAATGCCAATTTCTTCTTCTGCTTCATCTTCTTGTTGATTAAATGAATGCATTGTTCTAAATGCCAAATTAACTTTATGACTTCTAATTATTTCTTTATTACCATAATATATACAATCGCTTGAAATTGATGACTTTGTCATGATTAAAAGTGATCTCAGTTCTTTAAAAGAAAAAAAAATAGTTAATAATCAAAATTTCCTTAATAAAATAAAACATGCATACAATACAAATTTAATTATAGATTTACTTAGTAATATAGATTATTTATTTGAAGAGTCTTCTGAATGGGTAAATTTCATTAAGCAAGAAGATAATAATGAAAGACTTAATACCACAGGACCAAAAACAGTTGCAGTATCTGTATGAGGCATTACTCCTACAATTATATTACATATATTATTTTTTGCTTAATTACATATTATTTTGGTTAATAATTTTTTTAATTATAAAATCTAGAAAATCTGGTAATGGTCCTAAATCTTTACAATTTTTCTAAGGAAATCGATCAAATTGAAGGCTTTTGTTTTTATTTTACCTTACATCAAATAATAATAATAATAACCTGTATCAATAGCTAAATTCATATCCATAATGTTGTGCACATTGTTTCATTTCTGGATTTGGTTTTCTCAAATATATTGTATTAATTGTGATCATATTATTTATTATTACATATTACTGTAAAGTCTGGAAAGATATGGTAGACTCGGTTTGAAAGTATTCAATTGTAAATTTTACTATGAAAATTCGATGCCGATCATCAAAATTCACTATGTTTTTGCAGTAGAAATAAATTTTTGTGACATGTCCTACGACTGATATCTTAAATTGGTCGCGTTTACAATCATTTTGAAATTCGTTATATTAAGGTTATTTTGATTATATCGAGAGATATGGTCAAGAGAAGAGTTAGGAAAAGAGTTATTCTTCAACCAAGTCGAAAACTAACCCTTTAAATACATTTTTGAGTAGTACGATTTAATTTATTAGACTATTTCAAAAGTTTTGTCACATGGTTGCTTCCAACTTCGCCATTTGTTAATGAAACAATTGTTCGTGAAGTGATTGTTGACAAAATGAATCAAACCCACATTAAATGTTTTATTTTTTAAATTCACGATTTTAATTGATCAATCAATCAATGGTCTCTCCTGTAATAACGTTGTATATATAATAATAACGACAATTATTTTATGTGGTCGAATGTAGAAGGTTGAGTTCCGTGCGCTGAAATGGCCTGAGAGTAATTTCTCTACGAAAAAATAGCAAAAAAAAAAGTTTAGACGGCTGTCCTATTCATATGTTTTCGAATTTAATAAAATAGACTATTGTCTTGGCCCGAGTGATGTCATTTTTTTGCTCTTTGCGACGAAGAAGACGCAAAACCCAACTTGATTGAATTTTTATTCTCGCGTAGCACGGTGTGCGTGTTTTGTAACACGAAAAGCAAAAGCTCACATTGCGTTCTCAGTTGTAACCTTGTTACTATAAGCAATTAATTGATTATTGATTATTTTCATGATTTAATAATAATAATAACTATTCACGTGTCATAGTCGTAGATCTTTTGCAAATTTGGATTTATTATATATTGAGCTCTTTATAAAGCAAGATTGTCATAAAATTTCGGTAAGTGGCGCAGCACATGATATTATAATGATGCGTTGTTTATTAAAAAATAAAAAATACAAATATTAACTTCTATCTACCAACAATAAAATCAATTTATTATTATTCGCTTTAATCTGCTGTTGACCGTTGTTCCTTTCAGTGTTAATATTAGTATTCAGTTTAAGCCAATGTAACTTTCCTTAGGAACAAATCGACAAGCTACCGTCTCCACTCTAAAACTTCAAAAGAAATCCATAGAAGCAATCCAGGAATGGATTAATAAAGAAAATAGAAAGAGATATATTACTGCAAAAACCCTTCCAATTATTACCGTATTTATACTCTGGAATTCCCAATTTATTGTTATTTTCTAGTGTTATTATTGTTACTTTTATCATTATTATTGTAATTATCATAATTATAATAATTGGTTATTTTTAATTGTCTTTTTTTTCTTTTTTTTTCTTTTCAACGAAAATATTTTCATCGTGTTCTTTTTTAATTGTAAATTCCTCCATATTTCTTTATATATTTATTTTCTATCGTATTATAAATATGAATTTTGTGTTTGTTCTCACTTTTTGTGATATTTGATATTTTACCAGTTTTCGTGATATGATCCTTTTATTAGTTTGATTAATGTTACATTTTATTATTTATTTCCAAAATCCAAATATTTTCCAGGTCATTAACTTGGAATCGAAAATATTATACGAATTTGATAGTATTTGATATCTTTAGATGATGCGCACTATATGAAACTCATATTTTTAACATGTAAATAATTAGAAAGCATAGGAATGTGTCCAAAAAAAAAAAAAATTTCAAATGTAATAAATTCATTCTCTTTAAGAATCATAATGGTAGCTATTTAACTTTCTCATATTAGAATCTTCCATTTGCTTTTACTGTATATATAAATTTGTCATATATCCAGAAAAAAACTCATAAGGAACTGTTGCACGCGATATGCAAAGGGAAATTTATTAAATTGTTAATATATACTAATATATATTTCATTATGTTATTTTATTAATCTTACATTTTTGACATACTGGACTGAATCATTTTTTTTGACCGATGTATCACATTATTATTATATATTTAACGGAAAAAATTATTAAATTTGTATGGTAACTTTATGATTATGATTATGATTTGCAACTATTAAACTATTGATTTTTTTTTTTTTTTTTTGGTAGTTTGTAAGTTGTTAAAAATAAGATAATATAAAATTTTGGAACTTTCATGACCGTTTCCTTCATAAAAGAGCATTTATTTTTTCTTTCAATGAAAAATCATTCCTAAATGGTAGATCATTGCAGTATTTAGAAATTCACATACGAAATTTATTATATACAAAAAAATTTATCATGAGATTTTACTATGAAAACGAATTGTATTTAATTTAATTTAATATTTTTTCTTTTTATTAAATCTATTTTTTCCCGATATAAATTCTTTAAATTTTTTTCTTGTAGAAATTTTAATTTTAAAATGTCGGAAGAATCATCTAAAAATCACGCAAATAATAATAATAACCGTATTGATAATGATGATAATAATAAATTATTGTCCAAGAATATAAAGCCAACTAAGCGTAAATTTTCTTATCAAACGATAACGAACATATTGAATGATTATTCAATAGAGCAAGCGTCTTCACAAAACAAAAATAAAAATAGTAATAATAAACATAGCAATGTTAATAATGGTGATCATCAATTAAAAAGACGTCCAAGTGCACTTGTACGTCCTGAAAGACATAGACCTCGTCCATCTATAATCAATAGTAAAAATCACAAACGATATACCGAAGAGAAATCAAGTAAAGATAAAGCTCAAAATCGATCAAATTCCGCCAAGTATAATTATGATAAATATGCAAGTTATACTTGGTGGGAATTGTTTGCTTTAATCATTACGGTTTGGGTACCAGATACTTTACTAAAAAGAATTGGTCAAATGAATCACCCTTTAACAAGACAAGCTTGGAGAGAAAAGGTAGCAATATTCGAATAATTAGAATGACTTACAATTTATAAATTAATAATGATAATTAGAATAACCTATAATAATTTCTCTTTTTAAAAAAGGTAACTTTATGTATTATAATCTTGACGCTATGCTTTTGTCTTGGATTATTATCATTCGCGCTACGACCTTTACTTTGCAAAGATGATGCATCAAGTAGTCGTCTTGCATTTTCAGAAAGGTCTGGAACTGGCAATGAACTTGTAAAAGTGTATAGAGATGATATAGTAGTTTATGGTGGAATATATAAATTTCCTACAATGAAAAGTTTCATGTCAACAAAAAATATTCAATTAAGCGATAATTTCAAAGGATCGGATTTAAGTAATCTTTTCGATAATACAAAAGGTTTATGCCAAAGTTTTGACGAATCTAGTAACAATACAGTCAATTGTGAAGTTCCACTTCTAAACACTACGAGTTGTATTTTAATCAGTGATCTAGAAAGATATACTAGACCTGATGTTGGGATTTTAGCTTTTGAGTGGGAGGATCTTGTTCCCAATAGTGTCGACATAAATGCTTTATATTTTGTATATAATGGTTTAGGTAATAATTTAGATTCGAAAAATTTATAATAACTTTTTTTTTTACATCATTTAACTCATTATTCATTACTACTTACTAATACACATCCACCATATGTTTATTATTGATAGTGTTCAACCTGGATCAGTATTTTTCTAATTTAGACGTAAACCATTCAATAAAAAAATATCTTGGAGATAAAACACACGAAATATTAACTGAAAGTTTAGGAAAAGATGCCACATTATTAATAACAAATCATTTAAACGTTAATAATGAATTGAAATGTGTATTCCAAAGATATAAAGCTGGTGTTTTATCCACACAACCCGCCGGATGTATGGCAGCTGATCTTATAATATTCACCACCACATCAATAGTGGTACTTGTTGTAGTAATAAGATTTGTGATGGCTGTTGTGTTTCAATGGTTTATTGCAGATAGATTGACATTTGTTAGAAAGAAGGAGAATGGAACGGTAGTGATAAAAGGCAAATCTCCTTATGTGATTATACTAGTTACTTGTTATTCCGAGGGCAGAAAAGCAATAAAATCTACTTTAGACAGTTTGGCAGCTACAAGTTATAATGATAAACACAAGGTATAGAAAATAAAAAATTTTCATCGTTTATTTATTTATTTTTGTATGCTTTGAAATTTCTGGCGAATTGACAAGTTGATTATTATTATATTATATAAATTTTAGTTGTTTTTTATAGTGACAGATGGAGTTGTAAGAGGAGAAGGAAATAAAAAAACTACACCTGAAATATGTCAAAAATTGTTAGATGTACCGACAGGTTTAGATGATCCATTACCATGTTCTTATATGTCAATTGGTAGAGGCGAAAAAAAAATAAATAGAGCAAAAGTGGTTTGTAATTTTTATATATATAAACTTAAGCTTATACAACTTTTTTTCTAATTGATGAAACAAAATTTAACAACAGTATGCAGGACATTACAACCAAAATGATCGTCGTACACCAGCGATTCTTGTGGTTAAAGTTGGCAATAGAAAAGAATCAAATTCTACTAAAGCTGGCAATCGTGGTAAACGTGATTCACAGGTGAATTATTTATATAACTTTTTTTATTATAATAAAAAAGAAGTTAAAATACATAGCATTGTATATTAATATTAAAAATTATATAGGTGATACTGATGACTCATTTTCAAAGAGTATTTACAAGTGACCATTTTACTGAATTAGATTATGAATTATATTGGAAAATTTATTTTCTCATGGGGATAACTTCCGATGTGTTTGAATTGGTAATGATGGTAGACGCTGACACCAAGGTTTCCGAGTCGTCGCTAGCTTACCTTGTTTCAGCCATGAAAAAAGATCCCATGATAATGGGTTGTTGTGGTGAAACTAGGATAGCAAACAAAACTAGTAGTTGGGTATCAGCTATACAAGTTTTCGAGTATTATGTATCACATCATTATGGTAAAGCGTTTGAAGCAGTATTCGGTGGTGTCACTTGTCTACCAGGTTGCTTCAGCATGTTTAGGCTTAAAGCTCCAAAAGATGGTGTTTGGATACCTATAATAAGTAGCCCACACTTAGTTGCCGAGTATCAACAAAACTCTGTTATAACTTTACACGAAAAGAATCTTTTGTTACTAGGAGAAGATCGATATTTGTCTACCCTGATGTTCAAAAGCTTTCCTCATCGAAAAATGATGTTCATTCCACAAGCAGTATGTTATACCATTGTACCAGACACCATGAAGGTATTGATGTCTCAACGACGTAGATGGATAAATTCCACAGTTCATAATCTATTGGAATTGTTATTTGTTAGTGATTTGTGTGGTATTGCTTGTTTGTCGATGCAATTTATAGTTTTTTTGGAATTGATCGGTACTGCTATGTTACCAAGTGCGATACTGTATTCATTCTTCATAATTTTTAATGCTTTAATAGCGGAAAAAATTGACATCTTTGTAGTTATATTGGTGGCTTTGATTATTGGATTGCCAGGTTTGTTAATTATAATAACAGCACAAAAGATTGTCTATATCGGTTGGATGTTTGGTAAGTGAAAAAATTATTTTGTTAATTTGATGTTAAAAAAAAATTACATATAGTCAAACCTCGCCGTAACGGTGCATAGGTCAAACATTTAAAATCCGTTATGCCTAGTGATGGGTTATTACCGTGGTAAAAAAAGAATTGGAATAGTTACCATGGTAAATACCCAAGATTACTCTATATATATAAAATTAGATGATGATAAATACTAAAAAATCATTATTAAAATCTTTGATCTCAAAAAGTGTGTTTTGAGTAATCACTATCACTATTTATGCCAAAATCATAACGGATTTTTATATGTGAAAAGTATCCGTTATAGCGCGAATTTAATTTAAATTTAATTAATTATATTATTCTTTTTTTAGTATATTTAATCACACTACCCATTTGGAATTTATTATTGCCAGTTTATGCATATTGGCATTTCGATGATTTTTCATGGGGCGAAACTCGTAAAGTTTCCGAGGAGAAAATTTCTGAGGAGTCGACTAATAATAAAGGATTTTTTGATCAAAGTAAAGTAATCTTGAAATCGTTGCAAGGATGGGAATATGAACAACGAAAATTGCATAGTTGCTTCGTTTATCGAGAAATGGGTTTTGAACCTGGTAATAATAATAATAGTAATAAATCACCAGGAGAGACAACAAGGAATAATAATAATAAAGCAAATACAAATCAACAAAAAAACGTGTCATCTAACAGCAAAAACAATAAAAGCAATAATGATAATAAAAATAATAACGATCCCAATAAGTCAAAAAAAAAGGAAACCGAAAGACAAGAAAAGCGACAAGGAATTATGGTCGATAGAAATAAAATTTAGGTTGATTTTATTTTTTATAAAATACATATATACTTTCTTTAAAATAGCATGTATGATATATATATATAGACAGATAAATTAATTATTAAATATAATAACAAAAAAAATCAAATTTTTTTAATTATATTAATACTAAGATTTTAATTTGTTGGCAATATCTAACGTGGTTAAAATATAATTCTCCCAAGTTTCTGGATCTTCCAAATATTTATTTATTTCATTTATTTCGGAATTATTAGGTGGTATTAAATTTTTATCTGAACCATTGCTTTCATTATTTTCTTCCGAAGATTTGTTATTTAATTCATTGGCTATCGGCTGTTCCGTCTGCTCCACTTGTTCCTTCACCGATTGTTCCTGCCCCGCCAATTGTTGCACCTCTTGACTATCACGATCATTTTGTTCTATTATTAATGATGATGGTTTATAAAGCAACTAATTTTATGTATGTATGTATGTATTATCATTAGTTTATAACCCTGACAATAAAAAATCTTAACCAATAATAATAACAACAACAACAACAACAACAATAATGCACTTACTCTAATTTCTGTTCTAGCAAGATCAGACTCTTTCTCGAAAATTTTTCTTGTTGACAGGATAAAACCTTTATAATCATAATAGTCAATGATATTTATTGAAGCTCGTTCCAACTCATATGGAATAGTTACCTTGTTATCATTGTCACGATTTAAAGTAATATAATATTTTTTTGGACATAATATATTTTGTAAACTGATTTATTTTAACAAAAATTTTTGAAATGATTTTTTTAATAATTTTATTATTAATAATAATATTCATATATAAAGCTTATTGATTTTAGATTGCTTCATACCTTTTTAATTTACATTGATTAGAAAATTCTGTAACATCTTGAAATCCAAGTAGAGAATTATTCAAAGCTGATACAAGTCGAAAATCTTTTAAGCTATACGTAAAAGTTTATTATTCGTAATGATTTCATAATTAACAAGAATGCATCTTGGCAATATAATATTAAAAAAATATTCGTACCGATCCATCATTAATGTGTCCATAAAAAGACGTCTTCTAGACATAATGAAATCCTTGATTTTCAAATCATCATCAACAACGTCAAATAGTACGCTCAGTCTATGGGTTGTCGCATAAGATAAAGATTGATTGGATATTTCGGATGGTGCATAATCTAGCTGTACGGTTGTTTGATTTTTTGTTAATTTATTCAATGATTCCAAGAAATCTGTATGAGGATAACTTTGAAATATAAATATAATATTATATATATAAATATAAAATAATCATTGCCAAATTAATGTTAATGTCAATAATAATAATAATAATAATAATAATAATTCCATAATTACCTTGGAAGAAATATTTTTGTAGGATTTTTTTGTGAAACCCATTCCTGAAATCTTGAAATATTAAAGGACTCAGATATTGGTGGCATAAATAAATTATTATTATTGTGATTTGAATTTTCATGGAATAATATATATCCAAAACTATTCAATAACAAAAGAATTTTTAATTTCAATTTGTAATTAAATTTTTTTTTTCAAATAAAGAACCTTACATTGCATATAACTCAAGTCGTGAATTTGAAGTCGAACCTTCTTTCATATAGCTTCTAAAAAATTCACCCAATTTTTTAAAACTGGTGATTTTTGATTCTTCATTATTATTATTTGAATTAAGTGTTGCCCATAAAGGTTCTTTTAAAAATCTGAATAAAACAAATAAAAATTAATATATATGTATATATATATTCGAAATACGATTGCAAAAATCAAATAATTAACATTTCATGCCTTTCATTTTCATATAAGATGCTTAATTTAGAATCTAATAAATCTTGGTCGTCTAATATAAACTCATCATCACCCTACCATAAATCAATGCTTCAGTCTATGATTTGGTAAACACAAATGTTCATATCAAACTGTATCAAGTTGTAAAAATTTTTTGAACAATCTTCATTCAAACCATGCCACACTAATATTTACCTTAATTTTAGTTTTATCAACACGATACCAATTCATATTTCTATGGTAATTTGGTATCGGATCATCGTCATGAATAGGTAAAAATAAATGCTCGGATAATTTATCGTTACTCGGGTTAATTAATACAACTTGTGCTTCACTTTGATCTGACTATAATATTATTATTATCGTTAGGAATTATTATTATACAATGAATGCTTTAAAAGATTATAGTTTGCAAAATATAATTGATTACCTTTTTCCAAGCAATATTCAGTAATCTACTGGCTTCTGATATATTAATATCATTTCGACCATATATAATTAACTTTAATTCCAGTTTACCAAAGAAGAAAAAATAATATATTTTTTCCCATTTTTTAAATAATTTTATGGAAATAAGATAATCAATTCCGTAATTGTTAAATAAGTAATCCAACCTGGTTATTTTTATTAAGTTCAATATATGTTTGAGTTACTTCACAAATATCTTGTATGTATGGTATTTCATCCAAGCTTTTAATTGAGTTTTTGATATTCTCGGGAAGTTTTAAGATTAAATTTTTATATTCCTATTTTTCCATTATTAAATTTTCCCCCAGTTGAAAAACAAAACATTAATATTATTTATAAAAATATAGATTATAAATATATAAAGCATGAATGATTTATATAATTTTAACTCATTACAATCTAGATATACCGTTATTCCTTTAATTTCTTCTTTAGCTTTTAAAATATTGTTTTTTGTGCCATATATTGTGTAAGAATGTGGATTAGTATTGACATTGATTTTGGTGTCAGTTCCCTTTTCTAGTTGATCTAGAGTAACTCCATCTATTAAAAAAAAAATCCTAATGTAAATAATCATGTATTTACTAAATACATAAAACTTGGAATTAAAAAAACATTGATGATTTAACCTTGCCCAAGAATAAAATAAATATCAACAGGATTTGATATCACATCTTTGATGATCCGATAATTTAGAAAATTAATATAAATATATAAATATGAAAAACATTTATAGAAATTCGTATAAACTAACCTTCTTTTATAATGCATAGCGATGGATCAGGAATAATTTTTTTGATTTGCCAGATATGTTCAATTACTCTTTCTATCAATTTTTCTTTAGTTCCTCCCGCACTTTGTTGATTAGCTCTCAAATAATTTGAAAAATGTGAAACCAAAAATGAACGATTAAGTTTTTCTGCTAATATTTGAAAACTTTTACTTTCTAATTCTTTAACATTTGGTCGAAATTGTTCAATATCTTGCCATGACGCTGCACACTCTACCTTTTCTGTCATCAAATCTTTTGCTAATGTTTTCTTTTCTGCCCAAAGAGTCTTTAACAATTCATCTGACAGTTTTTCTAATTTATCGATAGTCATTAATTCTTGCCTTTTCTTAACAGGTTTCTTTGTAAGTTCTTTTTTTGATATTTTCTTTGGACTATTACTACTTTTTGAAGTTGCTGCAGTTTTTTTCGTGCCAATAGCATAATTATGACTTAATATGAAAATTTGAGATATGGGGTTTATACTTGTTGATCGATCATGTAATAAAAAATGTCGTGAATAAAATGGCAAATGACAATATTTGCTTGCTCGTAAAGTAGAAATCATTGAAAAAAATATAAATTTATTTATAAAGAAAAAAAGTGTAAAAAAGATTATCAAAATAAAATTGTATGCAGATCAAAGACTTTTATAGAAAACCATTTATTTTTAAAAAAAAAAACGTTCAAAAAAACATTTTTCAAAATAAATAATGCCCCCAAAAACAAGAAGAAAAGGCGACACATTAAAACTCCCAACTTCATTTAAAGAAGAATTAAAGCAAAATAGTGAGAAGAATAATTAATCGTTTTCAAGCTTGATTAGATCCTCAAAAAGGTTCAACTAATCAATTAGTTGTTTATTTATATATGCAGTCAATGAATTTGGCAAAAAAAGACCCCAAAAACGGTTCAAAAACCGTATACAAGAACGAAAAGAAAAAAGAAAACAAGATCGTTTAATGAAGAAAAGGAAAAAATCAATGAATTTTAAGGTACATGAATTTGATCAGCTTTATGGATTCTTCCTAATTTTATATGAATAAAGGCTGATTCTTAAAATTACAAAGTTAGGAGAGGAGAAAGAAAAAGAAGAAATAAATCAACCAAAAAAAAACCAATTATCAAAAAAATTAAATAATCAATTAAGTAACCAACCAACTAATCAATCAGCTAACCAACAAAAAAGTCAACAAAAAAGCCAGCAAAAAACCCAATTGCCAAAAAATCAATCAGCAAACCAATCAATTGTTCAATCATCAAAAAAATTGGCAAACAGACCAACAAAACGACAAAAGACTGATGATAATCAAGCATTGCTAATAGAGGATGATAATGATGATGATGATAATTTTCAAACTAATAATAATAAAATAAAGATAGAAGAGTCTTCAAATGTAAACGTAGCTAGATTATCGTCAACAGTTAATCATGATGATGATGATGATGATGATGATGATGATGATGATGATGATGATGATGATGATGAATATGACTGGGAAATAAAAAGATTAGAAAAAAAATTAGGATTCAAGCCAGGTGGAAAACTACCCAAAGCATTTATTGATGATGGGTTGGATGAGTTATTGGATGGAATTAAATTAGGATTTGAGTTACCTTGTAAAGACATTAGTGATGAAGTAAGTTTTGTTAATTGATTTATTAAAAAAATGGTTATCAGGTGAATAAATGAGTGTTTAAATTAATTAATAAATTTATTTTTTAGAAAAAATATTTTGATGATAATGAGGAGGATTCTGGGGAAGAATTAGTCAGCCAAGACAATTATGATAATGATGATAAACCTGAAGAAATAAGTTATAATAAAAAATATAGAGGGTCAAAAAGAAAGAAATTCAGCAAATAAAAGTTATATTATTATTATTGCAATGATTTATTATATTAAAATGTTGAAATTATTATAAAAAATGAAATGATAATTATATGCAATTGTCTAGTTGATAAAAGTATTTATAAATTTTTTCTAAATGGAATATGTTTAATCTTAATTTTTACTTGTCAATCACCATACATTTGTATTACTTACTGAAGCAAATTTACCCATTTTAATCTTCATGACCATCAGTTATTTATAATCAGTAGCCTTGTAACTTCTTTCATGATCAATCTAATGATGGCTTCAGGTATTAATTAGCATTTCATTTACAAATCAAAGTTGAAAATCAGATGAATAATTAAAAAATGGGCATTTCAATTTATCATATAATAATGAGAATGAGAATGGTGATGGTGATGATGGTGATGATGGTGATGGTAATAATTATTGGAATTGAAAGTTGCATGATATTATTTAATTTGGTTATTCAGATGAAGAAAATGCAAATTTTTGTTTGCCTTTTCAACTATCTAGTGCAGGCAGTTCTCTTCAATAAATAATTACTTTATAAAACCTGCAGAAGAATATGGAGAACATCATATCAAAATAGCTCCAGGTGCGACCTTTTTAATTTGTCTTGATTTCAGTAAGCATTTTCTTATTCATTGACTTGCTTAAGTGGAAAATATAACCTAAAAAATTTTTCTACTAAAAATATATATGGGGCATGCTGCAACAAAACCAGACAAAGTGAACATTGGTATTACAAAGGATTTCGGGGATCAATAGTGTTTGTTTAATATCACAATTGTATTACAATGTAATGTGATCATGATATTTGTCTAGACAAAAATAGTTAATATGAAACTCATTTACATTAGGTCTACTATGGAACCAAAGAATTATAGTACTATTAGAAGTATTTTGAAGAAAGAACAAGGTGAAAAAATTGCTCCTTATATTTTTAAATTAGCAGATACCAAATCTTTGCAAACATATTTAGACAAAGAAAAGATTACTTATGAAATTTACCAAGAGGAAAGAGTTTTCAAAAGAGTATTAGAGAATTCTAGTAAAGAATCAAGAAAAAAAAGAAAACTGGCAGAATAACTAAACAAAT